GAATAAATAAATAAAATAAATTGATGTTTAATTACAAGATTTTGAGTCGTTAGATAAGATAAGAGAATAACATTCTATATAACTGAAGCAATGTTTCTAGAATAGAATGGCATATATAAATTAATGATCGTACTAGAAAATTACAGCAGTGACATGAGAGATCAAGTGTTTTCTAGTAATAATCGGGGAGGAAAGTGGCCGTCTCTTGAACGGGAAACATCGCCGACCTCAACTTCGTTTTCGATCCGGTCGGCGAGAGAAATCACGTAGATCTGAGAGGGTGCGATAATACGCTCCTCAAGTTAATGGTAATTTTATGCGATAAGCGATATCTCGAGTATCATAGTTTACGCTGAGAAAAAACCTCGGACGCGATACCTAGTCTGAGATCCTGTTTCCGTTCTGCGCGAGAGGACTCTCGGTTCGTTGGGTCGCGGCGCCATTTGGACGGCCGCATTTGGCGAGTCTCCTCTGAAATCCCCCGATTCCTCCAATTCCTTCAATTAAAATTAATTAATGCGCAGCCTTGCCCGAGACCGCGAAAGCGATTTTAGCGCGACGAGTGGGAGATACCAAAGCATGCGAAAACGCAGGTACGAGCGATCGCGCAGAATCGAAACAGATCATTAATGTAGCCGCATTTTGTATGTTGCACGATTACAGGATATCTCTATTTAATCGAGCATTGATGTACGCCCCACGTTCGTTAATTTAATATTTAATCGATAGATGTAACCGAAAGGGAGGATGGAGGGGGCTGGGCGCCACTTTTTCTTGCACTTCTGCGCAGGTGATACAACATCGCCGAGGGTGGCCCATTTGACGCTGCGAACGGCGCAGCCGCACGTTTGTAACTTTGTATTTTTTACGTTATTAATAAAACAGCAAAATCACAAAGAATCACGGTAGACCAATTGTGCGCGCCGAAACGCGTGCTTGGATCATGCGACTGTCTGCGAGAAGGTTGGCCGTTGTATTGTTAATATCGCTTCTTTACTACGTGACTATAATATAATCTGAGAATATAAAAATATAATACTGTACGACTTCAATTTGTGTGTCTCATTTTTCCTTTACCAATCTCTTAATCCTCGAAAAGTCACTTTGAAAGTTTAATAACTCGTACATCTTCACGCAAGCTTCTCAAATCTATCTGCAAACTGCCAGCGTTATTCGTAAATCTGTTTAAATAAAATCTTCTATTGCAAACTTGACGAAAAAGTTTAGGCGAGAGAGAAGCCTGAAAGGAAAGGAAATGCGTGTTTTCTTATACCCCGACGGAAGTACGGAAGGATCCGGAACTGCCCGGGCTTTTTCGACATGAGAAACTTTGAAATTGCGAAAGAGGCGAGGAAAGCGTGTTAAGCGTACTTTGACCAAAACTTTGACGTTTTTCATCCCAAGTCGTGAAAGTTTCTTCGTGTCGCGCGCCTCGAATCTTCTATATTATATTTATATGTGTTACATAAATGTATGTATATATTATCAATATAAATATATATAAAAATATATTTTATATTTATATTTATATACGATTTTAAATTTATATTGAATTTACGAGATATTTATGGAAAATTTTTACTGTGTAAATTTAATTTTTATTTACGATTTTGCAATATATTTCATATTATTATTATATGTATATATATATATATATATATATTTATAATATAATAAAAAATATAAAAAGATAGAAAATATGTTTTAAAATATACTAAATATACTAAAATATCTTAGAAAATTATAAATAAAATTAATTCTACATGTAATTTAAATTTATTATAAAGGACTTTTGTTTAAATCATCACATGAAAAGCTTCGTCGTCCTCTGCAACCACCACGATTCTAACGATCGCAAGAAAGTTATAAATAATTACAGAAAGTTACTCGGAACTTACGGAAGTTATGGAATTTACGAAAGTTACGATTTACGTATTCACGATATCATCGCTCTAACAAGGTGTAAATGACAAATTCCGTTTATTTTCAGATCTATTCAGAATATTTTCTGAATTTCAACACTAACATGATTCAAAATTTACACATACGCAAGTCGACTACAAATAATAATTCTGCACGAACTTCGTTTATTCATCATGGCGGTCGTGATTGTTAGGTGAAGGGAAATAAAGGAAATGAATTAAGATGGGATCACTCACCATTTACAAGATGACATGCGTGGATTATGTAGATGTAGGAGCGGTGATTGATAGAATGAAGATATGAAGAGATACATGTATCGTTCGCATTCCAATAAGACAAGAGATGACATCGTTGGCACGTATCGCTTAACCCACTCTGTGGCGTCGATCGGCAATCTACGTATATAAATAGCCAAGTGACATCACGTCGAATATATTTAGCTGAGGAATGGAGAGGATATATTATCTTATGACTATATGTATTACCGGACTTGGACGAGGATCCAGAATTCAAAACGGGAAGACGTGAAACACGATTTTACGAACGAGAACGAGCACACGGGAAATCACGCGTCGCGTCCAGTGACGAGTATTTGAAATCAGAGCGACATCGATAATGATAGCGCCATCTAGCGTCGTGAATGTCAAGGCTCAGGTCACATCAAATCCTATTGTATTTTCGAAGAAATATCTTTATTATTTCTTCCATTTTAATTTTTATCTTATTATCATTATTGTCATATTGTTATTATTAATAATTGTTATTTGTTCTTATTTTTAATTATTATTAATTGTTGTTGTTTATTTGTTTATTATTATTATAATTTCGATGATTTTTTTTCTTCGTTTCGTAAAAGTCAAAATAAATCATTGTAAATAAATTATTTGCGCTATCACATGAATTGACGCAAGTTCGTACGTAGTTCAAATTTCCGAGTTATGCCAGCGAGCGGCGCGAGCTGCCAGCGAAATGTCAGACGTGATTATATGCGTTTCCTAACCTCGGTTGGTGCCGTCAGTAAGTCCTCGGTCAGTTTAGCTCAAGTATCTTCTCCGATTGTAAGAATCTTATATGATGATCGAGTAGCGCGGACTGCAATGTAATTATGGAACTCTGAAAATTTTCAAGGATATAAATCCTGATCTAATTTTTCACGTGGATAAGAGGAATGACGTAAGTCGATGAGAACGGAAAATCATGGAAAGCACTCAGTCGTTGTACATCAGCCTCTTCAGCGAGGAGAAGAGCGATGTTTTAAAGGAGGTCAGTGAATGATGTTCTTGCCTTATCTCTTAATACCGCATAATGAGCGTAATTACCATCTTCAGATTAATATTCTCTCAGGTTTCCCAAAAATAAAAAAACAGAACGTTAGCTATCATAACTTGTTTCATTCATTAGTATATGTAATATCTCATTAACATATTTATCATGAAGATGAAATCTAAAGATTTCTTCTCTAAATCGAAGAAAATATCAAAATTGTCATTTTTATATTATGTTGTTTAGTTATAAAAAAAAAAGTTATTAAAATTTAGTGATTAGCTAGAAATTCGTCCAAAAAATGAAATCTCACCTTTCCCTCTATATGATAAAGGAAAAGATATAACTGAGATGGACTATCGCAATGAATGGGGGCCAAGTATTGCCAATTTTATTAATTGTACTCTAGTTTTTTGGCCTGTTTAAATTTTAACTTAAATCAAACATTTCTATCTCTTATAGAATGAAATGAAAAGATATGATAATTGTGACATCTTATTTATGTTAAGCTGCTGCACGCATGCGTCGATGAGATTTGTGGTCACCCAGGACCGTCATATCGCAAGTTTGCTAATAGCATGGATTGGAGCAAAGCAGAATACAAAGGAGTTTATAAACTCATATCGTCATTACTACGAAATCCTGTTTCACTCTACATGGTAGAAGAAAAGGTAAAACTGTTGAATGATCAACTATCACAGAAATAAGATGAATGAGAGTATTTAAATAGGCCCGATCTAATATCTAATAGTTTAGATACATTTAAACTTCTTTAAAGTGAATTTGATTGAAAAATGATTCTAGATGCCACAAGAATATCATGAATTACCGGAGCAAGTGCAACAGAATATTCTTACTTGCTTAAAAGTACGTAGGGAACAGCTGACAAACGCTTTATTGAGGGAACATTACAAAATGAAACTACCGACCGTGATTGATTACGATTGGAGATTGAAGGTATTGCACTGATAATCATTTCATTTACATTTATTCTTGACTTTATTTACTTCATCACATATATCTTTATAGTTGGTAATGGGTTCGAGCAAGATGGCTTCATTAAGAGAATCTCTACTTCAATTAGATCTTATAGTAGAAGATAAGGAATCTCGACGTATCATAAATTTAGAATTGAACAAGGACGAGTTAGATACGATAATAAACAGTTTAGAGAGGCTAGTTTGATGTAACATTTTGATACTCTTTTATAAAAAAGAGAAAATGAAGTCATTCGTGTATATAACTCCTACATATATTAAACTAATGTAACATATATTAAATTATAATATATCGTACAGGACACAGGTTCTGTGATGAAATAAATACTCGCCGCTGGTACACTTTGTTTCACAGTTTATTATAGGTTATAGATAAATGTAGAATAGTTTAGTTACTATTATAACTGCTGATCGAAGATACTGGAGACTGTACTTTCGCGTCTGAGGCGGTTTTGATCCAAAAAGTCTCATTCACAATTTTGTAGTCTCCGACGCAAAATAAATAAACGAGCGAGGTTTGCCTTGACGGCGCCTCAGAGATAAGAATCACCAAAGAATGGTACGGGTGCACGGATATTATCAGTCTCGGTTCGCTCGTGAAAAATTTCGATAAAAAGTTCGCTCTCGTCGCCAAAACATGTCGCCTCATCAAGACGTATTTTTTTTTTCGTTTTCGTTGTAAAGATCATTTTACGGACAGATATATTTAATGAATGGTTTTTACTATACAACTTTTAAACTTTACCTCCTTTCCGCCCTTACACGTAAATATGTATGTAACCGCTTAGAAGATAATGCCGGTCGCGGACCCAAGTAAGAAACTTGGTCCTTTCCTCCTATGCTCGGCGATATTACCGGATATCGGGAGCGTGTCACACGTGTATAATGCGCTTCTCGTTTACAACTTTATGATCTATGCTACGATCGTAATAAAAAAAGCTTTCGTAATTACTCTTTTACTTCTGGAGATCCGTATAAACGTAGAAACGTAGAAACATCGTATGAAAACTTGACAAAGGTACCGTTCCGGGATGGTAAATTGTGCATGTCTCATAAATTGTAATTAGGCGATATTTTTTTAATGATTATCATAAAAATTACGATAGGCTTCGTCATAAGTGTTCTTTCTCGTATGGAGAAATAGCAATGTTCGAACAAACGCCGAATTTACACAAACGCATTCTCTCTATACTCTAGATTAATATATCACTTACATCTTTTTTTTTTTCGACTTACTGTATATACTTTATCTCGTATGTTCCATGGTACGTATATACGTATACGCGGTGTAAATGTCCTCTTTGCATGTGTTGGTGTATAACGTGTCTCCTCGTGTGCTCGCAAGCGCCTTTGTGCGCGCCTATCAAAATTATGTTAAAAATGTGCAGTTCTTCGTTACAACGTAAAATGTTTCGATTGTACAGATGTAAACGGAAAAAGGAAAACCAAGGACCGCGAAGGAAATACGAGCGAAATAATATGCTGAGTGCCCCCTCGAAGTCGCCAGTGTAGATGCGATTTTATTTCAATCGTACGAAACTTTGTCGCGTGTTGCTGAATAATTCTCTTCCTCCGTTTCCTCTTCCAGTTTTCTCGCTCGCTTATTTCCATCTTTTTCCTGTTCTCACCGTGGCGAAGACGCATTCCCATCTTTCATTTCGCGTGCTATCATTCTCTTTCCCCTTTCACACCGTCAATCGCTATATCACACACAGCCTGCTCTCTCGATTTCTTCCTCTGTATTTCGACTTTCTCTTTCTCTTTTTCTCTCATTCTCTCTCATGCTTTCGCTTTCTATCTCGCTTTCATTCTCGTTCACACTCTTTCGCTCTCATAGAGTACAATAGTTATGTAATTATGGGAGGGCGCCATCCAATGAGTATTTCCTCTGGAATGCGCGACGAACGATTCTCGCCCTATCGTCCTGACGATTTCAATTAATCGCTTTGATCGCTTGTCCGTCGCGCGATGTTCGAGCATTAGACTTTACTTCAGTAACAGTTAATGATACTTTAAATTTCTACACAGCAGGGACGATCGTTGTAACTCGCGGCTGGACGCGATCCGAAAGGTACTTCGGCGCTTTAAAACCCTTCCCGCGCGCTACAAACAATGAAACGAGTATCGTTCAATCTTCGAAAAAGACTGTGCACGAACGTTATGCGTGCTCCTCCAGAATCGTACGTTCACATGACATATGGCCTCGTGAACGCAAATAGTTTTTAAATAAACGATCATAGACGTTTCACGTTATTCTCGTTATTCTCGTTTACCCTGCCGCTAAACACCGTCTAATAATTAATAGGCCTACTATAGAGTCTATATGCTCTCGCGATGTCGCGGTCATTGTCATCGTCGTTGATGTCGTCGTCGTCGTCGTCGTCATCGTCGTTGTCGTCGTCGTTGTCGTTGTCGTTGTCGTTGTCGTCGTCGTCGTCGTTGTCATCATCGTCGTCGCCCCGTTTTTTTCTTTTGATGCTCGTAACGAAAGAACGTTATTTTCTGTTGCAGGAATGGTCCAAATATACATATCTATATAATATACTTTTTTGGTTTTAACGAGAGAAAAGAACTTTCTTCTTTCCAAAATACAATTCGATTAGTGGCGCTTATTCGTTTATGTTGTTTTGGTGATGCGCGTCAGCGATGATTTCCTGAAAAAGAAAAGATTAATAGTTCATCTATATTTGAGTGCGAATCAATGTTGCAAAGTCTCTCGTGAAGAGAAAGAACACTTACATTTGTGTTACATTCGATAGCTTCGTTTACTGCTGCCGCGACTGCTTTATCACTTATGTCGATCTCCTCGATGGCCTATAGAAAGAAAGAGAATAAAAGCATTAATGGCGTTTATGACTGCTTAGTCACCGTAAAAAGGTGCAATCGCAATATTAATGATCAGATGGCCCTTCGCTCATTAATCTTCGTCGGTCAGTATAC